TGGGGAAAAGTAAGGACAGGGGCTGAGACAGGCACTCAGGGGTCACAGCACTCATCCTGAAACACAACCAAACTCTGAATTTAAAGGGATTTTATAGAAATCAAGCCATCCTAAGCATCTTGTGACACTTCTCTATGTGAAGCAAACAAGCATCATGAAGCACCACCATTGCATAGTGACTGCCCTGAAATGCACAACCACTAATTAAAAGCACTCTGAAAGCCAAATAGGCACTGAAAATAAATTGCTCCCAGATCAGGAAAAGGTTATTTCCCTGTGACAGAACTATACACACAAATCTCAGACAAGCCAACATTGCTAAGGGCAGTCAATAGCTAAACCATTCCCTGTGGAAATACTGGATTGAAATATCCAACAGAAACCAGAATGTCTCCACACACTATAAAGAAAAGAAATAGTTAAGATGATAAAGTACTTCCTTTTCACTCAAAAATATATTATTAGATATAAAATTATGGCAACTGAACCTCATGCACAAGGTTTTTAATTCAGGCCTCTGTAGAAATGTGCTCTAACAGGATGATGTTTGTTTTCCCTGGCTGCTGGTCAGCCTGGAGAGCCCCCAGCCATTGTGCTCCTGCAGGAGGAGGATTTCCGCAGCAAACCTGCCAGGGAAACACAACCAGGCATCCCAGGAGCTGGATTTCACCAGGAGAATGGCAAACTCCCCAAGAGCCAGGAGGTGTTCTATAACAAAGTAGATGTGAGCAGCCCAAGGGCCACTGTGTAAAGCCATGTCCACTTGAGACTCTCCATGGGCTGACTAGGGGAAAGGAGATGTGGGGACAGGTTATTTAAAGGGAAGAAGAGAAAGTCCAAATTGTTTTTAAAGCTACAATTCCAAGGATGGAGAGATTGGAATGATTCACAGATCCCAAGCCTTCTGCCAGATCAGCCAAGGACAGAGGTTCCTGCATCCCTGCAGAGCCCATGGAAGCAGCTCCCTACTGGTGCCTTGGGTTACACCAGCATTGTGAGCTTCCATTTACCGGGGTTACTCCTGTGTACTTTCACTTATAACCCAGCTCTATAGAACAGCTTCTTGCACATTGCCTCCCAGTTGCTGTGGCTGCAGAAGCCACAGGCCCTGTGTGCCAACCCTGCTTCCGTGTGCCACATTTCACAACCCTCCCACTCGTGTTGCAGGAAGAGCCTTAGCCCGGACCAGTTCCCCGTCACGTTGCTGCACGAACACCCAACACACGTTTCCGTTGCCAGATAAGCCAAACTGGGTCACTTTGATTCTCTGCAGTAAACTCCAGCATCTGTCTGACAGTCCCAGCACAGCCCAACACCACACACAACTCTCACAAGCTCCGTCTCTCCAGCAGATCTCCTAACCAGGCTTTCCCAAGAAATGCCACATTCAGCAATATTTTTTTCTGCTGTTAAGTTATTTAGTTAGAAAAACACATTTGAGAACTGTCATCTCATTCTTACCTTTTCAGCTGGTTCCTTCCTTGTGTGCCCATGGCACAGCACTGTGGGTGCTCCCACCCACAGCACACAGAAAGCATAGAGATCCTTGTGCATACAGGGAAGCAGCACCACAGCTCCTATTTAACCCCTCTGGGCCCTATACCCTGTCTGATGGAGCTCCTGGGCCAGGTGGGATTCATCCCCTGCTCCAGCTCATCAGCACTAACAGCTGCCCCAGCCCCTCACCTGGGCAGTGGGACACTCCCCAGCCCCTGCCTGGCACTGCATCTCCTGGCTGGGCAGGTTAACAGCTCCCTTGCTGTATTTCCACTGGATGTTTGGAAAGCTGGGCTGTGCCAGGCTCAGTCCTCACCTTTCCTACCAGAAAGAAAGAATCAAGCTGACAGCGGGTGGGACACGTCTGCTCCTAGAACAGCACTCACCAAACAGAGCAGGTCTCTGGGAAGGGAAAAAAATTCCTAAGACCAAGCCTCAAAGCATTTGAGAGCGAAGGATTTGTTTCAGAAGTCAGCAGGCAAGTGGCTAGTTTGCTTTATTTATCAAATGACTTAATGATTTCAACTAGAAGGTTATTCGTGTGACCTTCCATCCTGTGACCCTTCCATGACTACGTCAGGAAGTGAAGCAAGAGTGCAGGAGAGGACAAAACAGCATTTAAATGTTCCACTTCACTTATGTGGGTCAAAATCATGATAAGACGTGGAAAAGTGAAAGGAAGATGAATCTAACAGGCATCTTGCCCTGACATCAGTCACCTGCAATGCCCTGCCCTCAGGTGTGCTCAGATCAGACCCTGATGCTACTGATCCAAAAGCCACTTTGAATAAATATGTCAAAATGTAACCGCTGAATTGTGTGTTGTTGCACACCTCAGGTGCTGCCCAGGGACCTTGGGTGGGTGTTGAGGTGACAACACTTCACCAGCCAAGGAGAGCATCAGGCTGGCATACAGATTTCCCAGAGAGTAAAGTTCCTCCCAGACTCCTGGAAGATAATTTACCTTAAATATTTTTAGAAAGTGGAAACCAAAGCACCACCTGGGCAGCGATGGGGCAAGAGGTGATGGGTACAAAGGCAAGTCCTGGAAATCCTCTAAATGTCGGGGAAAACTTTGTTGGACATTTAACACATTCTGAGCTGCAGAGGAGCTGAGGTTTGCTTGGGTTTGGAATGAATGCAAAGCAGACCCATGTGTTTTCCAGTAGATGTGGAGCTAGTGGCAATTTGCCTCTAAAGGCAGGTTCCGGCAACTCTGTCCCCTCCAACCAGGCATCTCTCCCTCTCGGACTGATGTGTCAGGCACCTAAAGCGGTGGTTGAAATTAGCCCAATGTCTTGGCTCTGTGTTTGCCTGGGAAAGTGGCTGCTGGGCTGGGCAGAGCTGAGGGTGGCGACTCAACCCCTCTTGCTGCCTGCGCCGCTGATCCGGGGAACAGTTATTTTTAGATCACTTACCGCCACTAAAACATACTTGGACTGTTTTCAGGCTGACTCACAGCTGAATTCCTGTTCTTCTGGAGGCATTTTCTGTCCCCACCCAAAATAAGGGAAGACAAAACAAAATGAAACCAAAAAAACCTCAGCGGGATCTGAACCAAAGCCCAGAGCACGTGTCCAGCTGTGCTGATGCTGGTGCCTGCAGCCCAGGTGTGGGGGGATCTGCACCCACAGCCCATCACCCATACCCATGCCTGCACCCACCTCAGACCTGCTTAGCCCAGCTCAGCTGAACCAAGCTGTGCTTTGGGGCTTTATTAGTTTGAATTTGTCCATGTACTGCTCAGGACTAGAAGAACTGAGCAGAGAGGAACATACATGTTGAACTTCAGTACAGAGGGTTTTATTCATTTTTTCTCACATTTTTAATTGCAAGACCAGCAGAACCACAGTAACCTGTGTGATGGTAATCACAAATTTCACACATCAGTTTGAGGAAATGAAAGTTGTGGGGACTTCACAGACTGCCACTAAATCGAAGGTACAAACCAGGGTTGTCTAAGGAGAGGGAAGGGAGCAGAGCCTAACAGGATATTCAGTCCCCTGAAGTCTAGGCTCTGTCTGGAGCTCCCCAGCTAAAGAGAACCAGTGCATGTACTGGGACACTAACAGCAACACTGTTATGAAGCCAGGTGGTAGAAGGTTGGGAGCCCTGCTCAGCAGCTCTGGGCTCCCAGGGGCACAGGCACTAGTTCTGACTTTGCACCTTTCTGATGATGGATCTATGGTATGTATTGACAGAAAGAGCATCTATCTGGAGATGGTGATTACCCATGGGTATCCAGCCGACAGGGAATAGCTGCGTGGTAAATGCCATGCCAGTGTGTACACAGGCAGGTATCCTTAGTGACTCTGTCACTTCAAAGGTGCAGATGACACTGCTTATCTCAAGTGGCACTGCAAAACAAATAATTGAGCATATTAATCCACAGGGACTGTCACTACACATTGTTTATGAGGAGAAATCACCTCCTGGCCATCAATACTTAGGCATGGGATGCCATATGCTGTACAGATGTGGCTCTAGTGGGGAGAGGGCAGTGGCACCTGGTGTGCCCTTGGTTCCAGCCCTGCCTCAGGGCTTGGACTGGCTTTGTCCCAGCCTGGGCAGGACCAGGGCAGTAACACCTGGATGCTTCTGGGCAGTGCCTCCTGTTCCAGCAAGCCCAGACCTTCCATGCAACAAAGCAACCTGAGCTGCTGAATGGCTAATTCTGTGCTAAAACAGCCAAAGCAAAAACATAAGTTTCTTCCCAAATTCTGCGAAGAGCCCAAATTCCCCTCCCTGCAGGGGCAGAAGTGCTGCCAGGAACCAGACTTTGCCTTGAGAATGCTGTGACAGGACCACGTCAAGGCACAGGACTATGTGACATGGACTGAGGCAGGTGTCACGGCTTCATGGACACTCCAGAGAACAGCAAATAAAGCAAAACAACACAAAAGAGACTTTTTTTTTTTTTTTTTTGAGCAGGATGCAATTTATTATCCAGGGACTGGTATTGCTGGCACGGTGAAGCTTGAATTCCGAGGTCCAAATTTTGCTCCAAGCTATATATTCTGCTCTAACTTATAGATAATGACAATAAAGTTAGGCAAATCCATACTTTGATAAGTGATTGTGAGAATGCCCATATGACCTTGCCTGACTGTCCTGGTGATGAAGCACGTTTGTTTTATCCCATCCCAGCTCCAGTCCAGCATCACCTTATGGCTCATAAAACAGCTGTCTAAGAGCAGCGTGATTTCTCTCTAATACCTGCCTTGATGATCTTCTATTTACAGCATTAATGGGCTGTGGGGTATCCTATTCCAAGAGCAGGGTCCTGCTGTACTGCTGGGAGTGAGCATCCCTCTTGGTTTGCTGGCAGCAAAACTCTCTCCTGTGCAATAAGGTAACAGGTGCATGTAGAAGAACACAATCAGCTCACACCTATTCTATAGTGTAAATAAAGATGTCTGAAAGAAATGGCACACTGCTGAATGCTCTACCTTAGAGAGTTTCCTCCCTGCTATCTCCCACTACCAAAGGGTCTTCTTACTCACTCACTCCCCGGCGGTTGTCAGCCTGCCCAAGAGCTGCCTTGTTTTGGCCATCAGCATCTCTCTGAAGTGGTCACCCATCAGGAAATAAAAAACAGGGTTAATGGCACTGTTTAGAAAGGCAAAGGGTCTCGTGATGACATAAACGGCTCTGATGATGCCCTGTGTGCACTCCGAGACGTCCAAGGCTGGTATCCGGGAAGCGAGACGCACGTTGCGCATGATGTGGTAGGGAGTGAAGAGCAAGGAGAAGATAGCCACAGTGAGGATCACTAGAGTAAGAGGCTTCTCCAGGGCCAGGGGAGAACTGAGCTGCTCGCTCCTGTTTTTAAGAAAACGAACCATCTTCACGTAGAAGCAGCACATGATCAAGAGAGGGATGAGGAACCCAAAGACAGTCAGGAACATGCTGTAGATGAGGTTTTCTGCGGGGTCTCCAGAACTTGCATAATCAAGACACTTGTAATTATTGGCAGGTGTTAGAGGCTCAAGGAAATGCATCAGTGGCAGCAGCTCCAGGATCACCCCGATCCATATGGAAATGGACACCACAATAGCTGTTCTCCTCTTTTGTAGGATGTGGTCTCTGAAGGGGTGTTTTATGAGCATGTACCGGTCAACACTGATAGCAGTGAGAAAGAGGATGCTGCTGTACAGGTTGGCATGCAGCAAGAATCTGTTGCTGTGGCACAGGATGCTCTCAGCCCACTGATCTCGGGAGTAGCTGCTCACCAGTATTGGCAGAGTGCACAGAAATAACAAATCTGATAAGGATAAATTGAACAGGTAGATGTTGCCACTTTTCCAGTTTTTAAGGCAGAAAACATAGCCGAACACCACGATGGTGTTTCCAATGAAGCCTAAAATGAACTCAAGGCTGTACATGGTGGAGAGATAATACTTTTCTAGGACTCTGTTCATCAGCAAACAGCCACTGGTCTCATTCTCAGCCTGGAAAATGAAAAGGAAAAAAATAAACACCAAAAATGATTACAGTATGATTGCGTGGCTTTTAATATCATTACTGTAATCAGTGAATACAGCCTGCTGCTTCCTTCCAGCCTACATGGTAAGTAGATACCTGACCCCAAAGACTGTTTCTCACACATGGGGTTTGTACTTTCACCCACCAACCAGAGTTACAGTGCAAGATGAAAACTCACTTGAGCAAAGAGCATGAGGAGTTTGAGGAGCATCACCTGAAGGCACCTGCCATGACATGCCAGCTACTGCTCAGCCAAACCCACAGCAGTGCCAGCAGCTGGGAAAGTGAAGTTTGCCTCTCAGTGCCCTGTCACAGCCCTTCTGGAAGTCATCTGCCCCACTGTTACCCAACACTGGACCCGTGGGCTCTCACTCATCACCAGAGTTCACTGTCAAGGCTGATGAAAGATGAACTCATTAGCAGCAGTTTGGCAGTGTTCTGATAGCACCACTCAGAATTCATTAGGAAGTCAGGAGAGAAGTGTTTATTAAATTAACCGAACCATTAATGGTGCACTTTGCACAGTTTTGCTGGTGACTAGGTACCAGAATAGCATGGAGGACAGAGCCTGTCTCCCATGCATCTTGCCAAAGCTTTCAAGGAAGCTGCACCACATGTGAGATTGCCTGAGGACAAATTTTGCTTGCTTTCTTTCTAAAGGTTGGTTAAAGAAATTGTTTCAGCTACAAGGAAGGAAATAGAGCAGGATCTCAAGTGCTCACCCCTCGCCCTCCTCAGCAAAGCCACCTGCTCCACCGCAGGGAGCTGCAGGACACAGAAAGCTTTCAGCCAGAGGCTTGGATAAAGTGTCAACAAACAGTTAGAAAGCATAAAGAAGGAAAACAAACCATTAGAAACTGGGATATAGATCAAAACTGAACTCAAGCTCAGGTTAAGCTCTGAAAGAGCAGCAATGGGGCTGCCACAAAACCTGCCAGGGACAGTCTCCACAAGTCCTGTATCTGGTGTTCTGGTGTCCAGAACCTGTTTGCAGGTCTCTGCCCTCAAAGCATTGTATTTTGTTTTACAGGCAGATCGTGAGGCAGAACAAAGTACATCATACCCCAAACTTCATAAAGTTACCTCCAGCAAGTCTCTACACTTACTGTGCCCTACAGGAGACAGAAATGCTACAAAGAGTGCTCACTCTGCTCAGAGTGACCTCACCTACAGCACCTACCCTGGCAGCTCAGCTCTTCAGGAGAAAGTCAACAGCTTAGTGAGGCTTTAAATCAAGAAAGCACCACAGGATGTTAGCACTTTAAACACCAATAATAATTTAAAAGTCCCCGTATTGACAGGTACATTGATTAGGCAGTTGTTAGAAGGAGGCTGATTGATCAGTCTCAAGGTAAGCAGGTAAAGCATTTGAAGGTTTACTCAGAAAGTCTCTCTAGAGGAACAGAAGAGGCTCCAGGAGCTGCATACATCTCCCCAGCCACAGACCCCTTACCATCCCCAGGGCTGTGGGTGCTGCCTCCGCGCTCCGGGACCATGTGCTGGGAGCGCTGGGATCCCACGGTGCAGCCCACGGCGCCGTCATGCCGCGTTTGCGCAGGGTTCAATCATTAATGAGCCAAGGCGAAGGCGTGATCTGTGTGGCTGAGCAGGACACAGGGCAGATATCGTGGGAGAACGGTGCAGCCCAATGTGTGCTGAGGGGTGACGCAAACCACATTTCCCCTTCGCAGGGACCTGTTGGGGAACTGCCTGGGGAGACGGGCGGATGCATCCCAAAGGTGTGAGGAGGAAGAGGGCACTGCTCCCCATCCCCCAAGAGATACCCAGGGGCTGCAGGAAGGCAAAGCTAGTGGCTTGTGCCCTGCTCACAGCCACCTTCAGCCTCTCCTGCTGCACTTGGAGACCAACACAGCAGCTGCTGCAGCTCAGCGACATCCTACAGTTCACAAAACAATTAAACAACATGTTTTAATTAATTACACCAGAGCAGTAAAGAAGAACACTCAGTTTTCATACAGTAATATGTCACCACTCCAAGGGTCACTGCTTCATTCAGCACTGCTATATAAGATTACTGGCAAGTATAAAAACACAATAAATGTTACTAATGCAGAATGACCTGCCTCCATGGCGACTAAAGCTCCTGAACTATCTCATTCCACCCCCATGCCATGGGCAGGAACACCATCCACTAGACGAGGTGGCTCTAAGCCCTGTCCAACCTGTCCTTGAACACTTCCAGGGATGGGGCAGCCACAGCTTCCTTACCTTTTTTTGGTTCCTCCCTCCCCTTTATTGTGATCTACTTCACTGTTAGCAAATATTAACTTTATTAATAGATATAAAAAAGCTATTGTAGCTTTTCTCTGCAGACAAGGCCAATAAATCAGCTCATATTTAAGCATTACAGAAGCTGATTTAAAGTTTCCCCTGTGGCTAATAACCAACCCTGACTTCTCATTTACCAGCTTTTAAATATCTTGTTCATTCAGGCAACTGCTGTTGCACCGAAGGATAAAATGGGGCTGAATAAATGGAGCATTTCTTCCTTCCTGCTGCAGTAATGCCTCGGAGAACTGGTGAGGGAGCAAGAAATGCTCCTTAATGTCATTTCAGTAGGTTTAGATTTGTCCCAGCTTTACAGCTCTGTGACTATTGCATCGGTTCATTGTGTGTCTGAGCACAGTTTTCTAACCCCTCGTTATTTTGAGGCTCTCCCAGTCACATGAGCTGGCACCTGTAATTCCATTGCCTTCCAGCTGCTCTGTCCATAAGGAACACCTGAACTGGGGGTCTCAGCTGCAGTTTCTCTGGTTGCTGGAGCAGCTGGTGCCCAGCACACTGTGCCTGCTGCCGTGGCTATGCTGGGCAGCTCCAAGCACTCCTCCTGGCACAGCAGGCTGGAGATGTGCTGTCCTCTGCTGGGGAGGGTTCAGCCAGGGCTCCAGCCCGTCTCAGCGTGAAGAACCAGAATGAAACCCAGCAGCTTGATGGGGCAACCCATAACGGCAGCGTTGGGACACCTCTGTGAGCCGTTAACAGGAACAACAGCTGGGCTGAGTACATCAGCAGGAGCACACTGCATTTCCCAACAGGGAACAGCGCAACCAGCAGCTCCAAAAATACCAAAAAGCCAAAATTATTGTCAAGTTCTGGTTTTGGCTTTTTGTTTTAAAAACCAGTGTAACACTTCAAAAACGCTAAGGGATAATGGAGAAGCCCTGACTTCTGGGGATGCTTTGAGGATGCTTTATTTCCTCCTCCACCCTCTCGAGTGAACTTCATTCTCTTCATACACCTACTATTGCACCATGTCTTGTACAGGTGACAGGGGAGCTGGAGAGTCTGCAACCAGCCTGTGCTTGGGCGTCCTCAGAGGGTTTGAGTTCTGTGACTGGAGCTGGCTCCTCTGCAAGCTCCTTGTGGGGCTGTGAGCCCCACCATGGTGATGGCAAAGTTGTGCTTTGTCCTTGACTATCAAACACCAAATCCCATCTCAGTCTCTGTTGGGAGATGGACCAAAACCTTCCCTTTGAATGGTTTGTCCCATTTTCTGCTGTGGATAAATGAGTTGCTTACTGCAGCTCCAACCTCTCCCGCCAGCGACGCCGACAGTGCAGTTTTCACTGTCTCATTTTGTGCCTCACCAGGCATTTCCAACCCCAAAAGTCTATTTTAGGAACCTAATAAAAAGCACATACAGTCCAATCAATCATGAGTCCATATATAGGTGCTGGTGCTTAAAAGACATTTACTCTTTGTTCCAAGAAAGTCCTATAAGAACACACAGGGGGAGGTTGGTAATTTTTGGCTGGCATTTCTGCTTAGAATATAAAATCTTTTTCTGCCTTACAGTTAGGCATTGAGTGCTCCTGTGTCCCTGATGCAGCCAGTGCTTGAGCCTCAACAGGGGAAACACAGTGTCAGTGGCAGCATGGACAGCAGGAGAATAACCCAAGCCAGTCTCGGTGACAGAAGTGCAACCCACTGAGGTATGTCCCCTCTGACACAAACCAGGACAACTGTCCTCCCTAAATGGTCTCTTAAGCAAGGCATTGTCTGCCATTTATCTGGAAACCCCAACTGGGCTCATCCCACTAGCACTTACAGCCCAGAAATGACCATCCCAGGGAATCTTGTGAACATGACCCTAACACAGTATAGAAAGTCAAAGTGAAGGTGTTGCTGAGCAGAACCCCAAAGCCTGACTTCCTTAGGAGTACTAAGAGGCTGTTAATTAATTCCAAATGCAACACAAATAGAATTCCACCAGAAGTGCCTGCTGCCAGCAGAAGGGATCCCAGTCCATGGGTGAGGGCTGGGATGTGCTGGCATAGTGGCAGAAAGAGACCTGAGAAATGTCTTCCAAACACTCCAGGAGTGAACACATGCATGACTATGCATCCAGATGGTGTGCAAACATGTAAAGAGACCAACTCAACCACTTTCAGTTCCCTCCTGGACAGCCCCAGCTCAGCATTAATGGTACTCACATTAATGGTAACAACACCAGTAAAACATGCCCTGGGATTTGCCTGGGGCTGCCTACAACAGCCACTCTTTGCCTTTAGCACATCTGCTATTGCCTCCTAATAAATGGGACACTTGAGCCACAAAGCACATTGCATTGGAATCAAAGACAAGTTTAATTGTTATGTTCAGCTTAATAAAGATGCAAAGCACAGCAATCACCCATACACATCCCATCTGAACAGGCCATGTGCACCCAGAAAAACCCAGCAGAATCATTGAAGACAGTATTGTTTAAGCAGAACAAAGAAGCATCAAGGATGCACCAAGTACATGCTCATGGTGTGAATTAGCTTAAACCAGCAGCCAAACCCTGTGTTCATGCTTCAGTCAAATTTTTAGGGTTTATATTTATCACGCAAAACATTTACACAGAGGTTATTTGTTCCACACAGTCAGCTGAACTGTGTTTCTTTTTCCAGCCCATAAAGCCACTAAGCTAATTTTACTTTAAAAATTCATATGTAAATACTTCTAAACAATTTTAAAGGCAACTAAAACACTAGTACATGACTTATCAGGTAAGTAGAGCATGGACCATGCGGCAGTATGTAAATCTGGGACCTCCACAGCTTCCCTTTTCCTGATGAACATCCAGTGCTGGTTTGTTACACTATTTCCTGCTAGTACAAGGAGCAAAGAAAGTGATGAGTAAGATGGGTACTTTTAAAAAACAAACAAAACACCAAAAAGCCCCAAAGACTCGCACAATTTTTCAGGCATCTCAGTGGATTTCCAAGTGCTTCCCTTGAACTGTGCTGGGTAGAGACAGCAGTCCCAGCCCAGCTATCACCTGAGATGGGCAGGCCCCACCAACTGCATCGTGCCCCTCACAGTAGGGTCCCAGCACCTCCATTCACCCCATCTCCCCTGGCAGCAGCAGGGCCTTGCTGGCACATCCCATAGGACACAGGAGCTGAAGGGGACAGGGAGAAAGCAGCCACTGAGCATCTCCCCTGTGCCCACAGTGACCTGGCACATTGGCACATGCCTGTGACATGAAGATGTTGGGATAGGAAGAAAGAAGCAGCAACCAAGACAAGATACCGGGTTCCAGAGGCTGTGGGGCCAGAAGAGGAACGAGAAGAGGGCAGTCCCAGCAATCTCGGGGTTTGAGGCTCAGACAACAGCACTGGAAGAACACTTGGGTTAGGATCAGACTTATTTCCCACCAAAGAAGATGAGAAACGTCCCAGTCCCAACACTGGAAGACAACACAAGGGAGTCAGCAGTCACGGCCAAAACATGACACAGCTCCTACACTCTCAGTCACACCTGATGGACATGCAAACAGAGCAACACTTCCCGCTCATAGATTCTCCTGTAACCAGTCCATGTATCTGTTGAGCAGCCGGTGCCCCACAGCCAGCTCGAATGGAGGTGAAATGAACATCAGTGCCCCATGAAAGGCGTCGTTGGCGTGATCGTGCGTGACCCGCACACCCGCCTCGCGGAGCCGCTCTGCGTACATCACCCCATCGTCCCGCAGGACGTCGTGCTCGCAGGTGAGGATGTAACAGCCACAGCCGCGCGGCACTGGCCAGCAGAGGGGACGCCCGCGGGTCCAGGAACCCCGAGTACCTGCGCACGAGCTCCGTGCTGCCGAAGGTGGGACCCGTGTACGTGTGACCTTTCCTCATCTCCTCGGGCAGCAAGTGGCTCCAGTTCACAAACTGGAACAGGTGTCCAGACTCAGCAGGGACGTGGCTGTTGGAGGCCATGGCCTCCCTGAGAGAGGGGTCGGATGTGAAGTACTCGCTCCAGAACCTGACCATGAGTGACTTGGGCAAGATAGGCTTGTGAGCATTGTCTCGGTAGGATGGGAGATCCAGGTCCAGGGCCTGCAGAGCAGGGTAGATCAAAATCTGGGCTTTGAGCTTGGTTTTGACTTCAGGGTCCTCCAACAGCTGTAGAAGAAACCAGAAATAATTACGAAGAGTCAGTTTAAAAGTGTTGGTTCTCCCACACTGACAGAAGCCCTGAAGTAAGGCATCAAGGCACACATTTTACAACATGACCAAAATAAGATTGTCAGGAAAACCAGGATAGATTAAAGAGACTCTAAATTCATAGGCAGGTCACTTAAAACAGTATGCTGTGCTAAAAATTCTCAAACATCAAATATAATTTCATTTTATTTCTTATACTGAAGGATAAAAATATTTGGGAAATATGCTTTTTTGAGGCTTTGATGTTTTCTGAAGTAGTAACATGTATTTTTCTGTAACTGCAAAAAAATTCTTCTTATATCTTGAAAACTGCAGGTTTCTGAGGCTGCTTTAATCATCTCACACAATTCAGGGCTCATCCATCTGTTTGGTTTTTAACCCTGAGGTGTTAGAACTCAAGCAACAATGATTCTGTGCATTTTAGAAGTGTGACAAAATAAAATGTGATGAATTGAACATTGGTATTTCCTATGTGCCATCCTTTTTCCCTCTTCACTAATATATTTTCCATATTTCCCTTCATCTTCTGCCTTCAGTGTCCACAGCAAATTCAGCACTGTTTGCACTGAGGTTCATTAAGATCCAAACAACTTCTCAAGAGAGCGACAACATTGCTGACTCTTTAATAAACCTGAGTGAGAAATGCAAAAGGCACCAAACTGGTCAGACACCAGAACATTTAGTCAGGGTTTTTTTGTTTGTTTAGGGATTTTATTCCTCTATTTACATCTCCATGAATCAAACTGCTGAAATTCTCTTTTCAAACACCTAAACCAGTCAAAATGTGCTTAAGTTTAGAGTGATGTATGCCCCAATTAGAGGACAGAGAGCCTGTTTTTTAAGGTATAAAGATCTGGATAACACCAAAGCTCCCCTGGTGCCATTAAATGGCTCGAGAACAGTTTTGTGCGACATCCTGTGCTTTGAGTTGAGGCTTTTGTAGGTGGTCATGAAATGGCTAAGACAATAATTTTGAGCCAGCAGATCAGCTTTAGCTGTACCTGTTGTGCCACAGCTGCAGCCAAGTTTCCCCCCGCGCTGTCCCCCGCGATGCAGACCCGCGTGGGGTCCACCTTGTACTGGGACAGGACACTGCTCTGGAGGAAGAACTTTGTCACCGAATACACATCTTCAAATTGGGTGGGGAAATGGTGCTCAGGGGCCAACCTGTAGCTGGTGGAGGCAAATGAACTGTGTTAATAAAGATAAGGGCTCATTAACATCTGCCCGAGTTGGGCAATGTTTCCTGTTTCCGTGCCCAGAGAAGTGGGAACTGACAAACCTGGAGGATCCAGTATTTTATGACCCACCCAATTTCATAAAACCAAAACAGCCACTGGCCACAATTCACCACTGCCACCCTGACAGCCTCTGGACACAAGTGCTTATAGCCAGCAGAACAGCTCATGATCAAAAACAGAGACATTGCCAAATTGAAACAGATTCATTTATTCTGAACCCTCACCCCCGCTGGAAGGAGAACCTCTCTTACTTGACTGACACCACAACAGCATTTAGCTTGTTTGAAGTCTTCCGCGACAAGTGATCGTAGGATTTCATGCCTGAAATGAAACAAATCACTTGGAATATACCCCAGGACATGTGACAACAGACACTCAACTACATGTTCCTCTCAGCAGAAGCTTTCGGGTTACTTTCCCAAAACCCACCTGCTTTTCACTGGTGACACACCAGTTCCCTGAGCCACCCTGTGCAACTCACATAGAACAAAAGGCAGCACTTGACACAGGCTGCTGAGATCTCCCACACAGACCCCTGGCCCTGATGGAGAAGAGCTTACCTGCATCTCCCAAGCACCATCCCCCACCGTGGATGAAGACCATGGCACTTCTTAGGCCCTCAGGTGCCCTCTTGGGCAGGTACAGGCGCACAGGGATGTTGCTGAACTCGGTGTCTGTCACAGTGGTGTTTTCATTGGGTGTGGCCGTGCTGTACTCCAAAACTGTGATCAGCCTCAAAGCCTCCATGTAGTGCATCACCCCCAGCAGATCAGCAGCCTCAGACTAAAGCCCAAGACAAAGGAAAACAGTGTTTTAAGTGCAGTTTTAGCTAATCTCAGATTAAATCACCATGGAGCCATTTGAATGCTCTGTACAAGCCTGTAAATTCACTGTAGAAGTCACTACAACAGGCCTGGGTGTATTCATGGGATTGAAACTTTGTGACTGTCACTTGCACTGTGTCACTACCTGTGAAACAAGGGCAGTGCCCAGTGCTGACACTGGGTTGCTGTTTTGTGCCTGCAAGCAGACCCACACTCCACATTTCATGTGGGTCACCTCTACAGCCCAGTGTCCAGGTCAATGCTCCACCAGCACAGGGATCATGGCACAGAGAGCCACCCATGGCCACCCACATCTCCTGTGCCCACTGCTGGCACCAGCACTTCGGCTCCTCCTCCACTGCCCCTGGCCATGGAATGTAACCAGCTTCCCACCCCAGCCTCCTCCCCCTTGCCTCAGCACATTGCAATAGCAATGATTAAGTAATAAAGCCAAGTTCTTACATGTTATCTGAGTGTGAAAGCAGATGGAACTCAGAGCAGGTTTAAGAGGAAATAAAGTAGCTGCTGAGGAATGTCTTATTCTCCCCACACAAACCCCCACACTGGAGCTGATCACGTGCTGAAAGGTGTAACCTCTGCTGTTCGGGGTTTGATGGTGTAAATCACAGTCTGGCCCTGCTTGGTTTGCTTGTTTTGTCTTTTTCTTTAAATTATATTTAAATCGACTTTTAATCATCATCTACATATAACCAGGTTTTGGGCAACCTGGTCTAGTGTAAGATGTCCCTGCCCATGGCAGGGGGGTAGAATGAGACAGGCTTTAAGGTCCCTTCCAACCCAAACCAGTCTGGGATTCTGTGATTCCATGATATAACCTCCTTTTTCAGGAGTTAGAAGACAAAAGAACACAGCTCAGCCCAAGCTGGCAGTACCTGACAGTGATTGTCACCTTTCCAATAGCTTGGAGCAGGCACTGCTAGGAGGAGCTCTGCCAATCCCCGTGGTTTGGAATTGGGATGGAGATGAGTGGGCAGTCCCTGGCACACCACAAAGGGAAACACAGGCCCTTGCCATCAGCTCCGTGAAAACAAACACACATATATGTGCCAGAACTGCAGCTTTAGCCACAACACAGTTTACATAAGTATTTCTCAGCCATTGCCTTTTCCCCAAGGATTAGCATCTGAAAAAACAAATGTATCAGTCAAAGTGAGTCCTGCTGTGACTCCACCGAGCTGGTGAAACTCCCGTGGTGGGAGGAACTCCCTGGGCCCCAGGACTGAGAATCCCAGGGCTGTGTTTTCCACAAGTGGGCAATTTGCATTCTGGAAAACCACTGGGTTGCTGCCTGTGGTTTCCAGGCCATTACCATATGGAAACAAAAGGAAATCGTGTTCTCATCTGAGGGGTCTCATTGTCCCAGTGTGAGATTAGTGGGTACTATGGGGTAACAGGAAAACCAACCACTTAGGTGTTTGGGATCCTTGTGCTTTGGAAAGCATTTTCTGTAGTCACTTCAGGGCTGAAATGGGCTCAAACTGGGGGCTCAGTGCTTCCAAGGAGCCAGGCCAAGGAGGGAGTGAGCTCTGGGAGGAGGTCACAGAACCACAGCAAAGATATGTTCTATATTTTCTTCACACATTTCAGACCACGGGTATGGGACACTTCCTGAAATAGATTCAGTGCTCAAGCACCACAGCTAGTGACAGGTTTGTTCTTAGAGGCTGTTCCCCAGCTCAGCAGCACATGGATGTGGGACACGAACATCAACAGGCAAAGGGGAACATTCCGAGCCTCACTGCTGCAAGGTGACAGGCATGAAGGGACTCTCAGCACACCATGACTGGGCACACCAGTGACTCCCAGCAGGGCTGGGGCTCCCCAGGACCTATCACAGTGAGCAGGGATGGAGATTGGCCATTTCACAGTGTTCTGGGTACATCATTTTGGGAGCTCAGAGAGGACTCTACTGCTCAGGAGTGCTCAAGTGTGGCAGAATTAGTTCCCTTTGTTCAAACCAACACCAGGGAGTCAAAGACTGAAACAGAATCCCCTCTGCAAACGCAGTCCTGCCATAAGTGACCGTGAGCTGCTGCCCCGTAATCGGATGACTGTTCAGGATATATTTAGGATACTTTAGAGCCACCTCAAATCTAATTTGCAGCAGTACAGCTGCAGGGAGGCTGGTCCTGTCTCTGTCCACATCCCTTGGGATTACACTTCTGCAGGAGATCAGAGCACAGGTACAAAATGCCTGCCCACAGCACCACTGCTCACACAGCACACAGGCTCAGGCTTCACCAACTCCATGTTCCAGTGAAAAGACACAATCCTCCAACACAAAGAGAACTTTCCTGCTGCCAGCACTGCCGTGCTGAGGACGAGCCTGACCAAGTGAGCAGGCACCAGGTATGCCTGGGGAAATGAGCTGCCTTGCAGGCTCCCTCCAGCAGGAGATTCAGGATGGGAAGCCGCAAGGCAGCACATCAGTTGTGCAGACTACAGTTCTTTCTCACCACATTGTTGTCTCCCACCACCTCCAACCCCAAAATCTAAACAAGACAACAGCAGAGAGTCCATGACACACACCAAAAACAAACCTCATCCCCCCTTCCCTCCCCCACCCCATTCCTGTGGGCTGGACAGCCCTAACAAGGTCTCCCTGCCAACAAGGGCTGTCTCACTCAGGAGTGGCTCTGGACATCCAGCAGTGGCTTTTAAATACCCTCCAGAGTGTGATGTTTAGGTGACACCTCAAGAAAACATTGCCATAAGGCTTCAAGGGAAGGGCTCTATCTTTCTGTACATCACGATATCTTCCGGCCGCCAGACCCTGAGTCCCCACAAACATGCACCCTTGTCTCCATCAGGAAATCGTAAAGGGGGTGGCTCCCACAGACCTCTGAGTAATCACACTCACCACCTTGTAACAGGACTGACAGAAAATAAAAAATCCTAGCCCTGTGCCCTTTGGAGCCAAATGCCCAGGTGCCGGTGTGTGTAGCAGCCCAGCCTGCCAGCAGCACCCCCCAGCAAACCCAACAGCCTCTCTCCTGGCTCCTTAGAGCCTCCTTGCAACGTATTTTATGGTGGGGGGGAAAAAAAAGCAGCCTCAAAACATTTGTAGGCACTCAGGAAGAGGTTTGCAACACTCAGCCCCTCTCCTCCCCCAAACCTTCATCTTTGACCTTGTTTTTAGGTTTCAGTCAGACTGCTGCAGCCCCATCGTACAGCAAGGACAGACTGGGTTCAACCAGCTCCCAGTTACTGCACCCCAAAGATGAGAGCTCTAGCAGCTCTATTTACACGTGGTGTCCAGCCTCACAGGCAATTTACATGTGTTTGAAGTGGCTCTATAGCATGACTGAAGTGAAGCAGAAGCTGAGGATGTCGTACATACAAAAATAGCATGGAAGGACACAGATCATGCTGTCAGTAAATATTGGCTGAGAACTGCAGCCAGGGTGTAATGCCAGTGCCTGACCAGGCTGCGACACACGGCTCTGGACTGCTGAGCTAGACACCGTTTATAGGCAGGCAAGATCACAGTGGTATTTGAAAGTTTTATTTTTATATGTATGGCTTAATCTCTAGACATTTTAGCACTATGACCCCTATAGGCAGTATGTGCTTGTCGATCCATAGTCACATCCCACATCACATTTCAGTTACTCTGAATGGCCTTTTCTCAAGATTGCACAATTAAATCTTTTCTACATTTCTTTATGTCATAGTTACAGCAAGTTCAATGCTTAATATCAGCTACTACTGTCCTTAACTTAGTCTAATACAATATACATTGTACATGTAGTATGACACATACGCATTGCCATGTCTCTATGAGCCCCAGAAGCATGAGAACCCCCCTGTTCTGCAGCTCTCCCCATCCAGCCCTGCACCAGCTTACCAGATGCCCAAAGGCCCTGAAGATAGCAGAGATAAGCATCACTGTCCAAGGCTTCTCTAGGCTCTCAGGAAGGGGGGTGTAAATGTAGTAGGCAAGGAAGGCTGTGAGGAGGCAGAGGCAGAGCAGCTTGGCCCCCATCTCTGCAGGCACCACTCGGGCTGGTTGGAGCAGCTCTCACTGACTCTGAACAGCCACAAGCCAGCACAGGGCAAAGTTAATCCTATGTTTTGTTTGGGTCCCAGCCAGGAGGTGATTTCTCATCAGATCACCAGGGGCAGAGGTTACTCCACTGTGCAGCTCCCAAGAAAACATGTTTTCCCAGCAAGGCTTGCAGCCACTGGGAGAGACTGAGCCAGCCCAACAGCCCGATTAAACATCGAGGCTGCACACTCAGCACCCTGTCCCTACCCTTGGCAGCAGCGGTCAGCCCCAGGGCTCCCTGGGGAGAGGTAGTGAGAAATGAGAGGCAGGATGTGGCTGTAGGCTGACACATGGTGACATCCAGATGCAAACAGATGTGTAGTGTATTCAGGAGCAACAAGCTGTTGCTTAAGTGAGGCAGTAGCTCAGCCAGAGCCTGGCTCAAAGAGATGCCCACCGGGGCAGCAGTTTCACCAGAGCCTGGCTCTCAGTGATGCCTGATAGGAACAACTCACAGCAGCACACCAAACCCACTGCTACTCCAGGGGCAGAAACTGGCACTTCCCACCCTGGCTAAGGCACCTTCACATCACACGACACACCAACACCTTGTGCAATAGTAGGGTTGGTAGATAAAAATAATAATCTTTTACAGGGCAGGGCTTCTGGTTACTATTTGACGGATTTTAATTGCTTTAATTGTTGAGGATTAAGAGATTTCTATGCATTGTCCAGAGGCAACCACTTCTGCACAGGGTGGACAGGTAAGAATAAATTCAAACAAGTAATAATTCCACCAAGGTAACACCACAAGTGCAAGCATGCACACAAGGAGGGGTAACAAGAGCAGCTGCAGCACCAGAAACCCTGCTTTAGAGATAAACTGAACACACAAAAAGCTCAATTAAAATTTCTTTCTTTTGCTGAAGCTTTACCAACAGCCAAGCAGCATTGCCACACGCTCTCTTACACCAAGCAACCTGTGGGGCTGGAGCATCCTTTGGAGGAGCAGAGCACAAAGCAACATAAAAGGCTGAAAGCTGTACCATGTGCCACCAGCCCAAACACAGAGGAGGAGCAGCCCTTACTCAAACTTTCAGACATTTTCTGTAAGTTCTAGGCACTTCCAAATTATTAAAATGTTTGAAAAATTCAGCTGTACTCTCCCTGTTCACCCTATTCTTCTCTCTTGGTCCTTCTGCAGCACAATAGCTGGTTAAAACCCAATGTTCTTGACCTCACTCCAACACCACCAAGAGAAAATACACCTCTGTGGTCACTTCACCTGCCCTGGAGGCCAGTGCTAGGTGCCAGGGAGAGAGAGAGGTGAGTCCAGCCTGACACAAGTGAGGGTGCCATGGCCCTGGGTCCCAGCAGCAGCCACATGTGTACATACAGTGTACAGACACAGACCAACAAACCCATCTCCTCTTTCGTACAGCTCAGATCATTTCTCAGGGGCTGCAAGGCAAAATGCAGCTAAAGGAGCCAGATTTTAGGCTCCAGAGGAAAAGAAGGCACAACCCAGTGATGGGAATGGAGGAGGATGCTCTGTCCTCTCCAGGAGTGACAGGAGCTCCCAGGACATCTCCTCTGTGTGACCACAACTCCCTGCTCTGCCATGGGGAAACAGCACACAGAAATGTGTGGCCAGACCTGGAACCACCACAAAACTGGTGGTTTAAGGAAAGTGTCCCCCTCTCCTTTCATTTTGGTCTCCAGCTTTAGCACAGCTCTATAGTGACAGCATGGGCTCTGCTCTGTCCCTGCCCTGAGCTCACCTTCAGCTTAGGCAGGAGCTCATGGTGCTTAGCCCTCAGAGACCAACAGCTCCTCATCTCCTGGCAGAGCTACCCTCCTGCCCTCCAGTGAACCACCCCAGCAACCTTCCCTAACACACAGCACTCCCAGATAAAGGGAATTATAAACGGAACTCACCATTTACCCAAGGGAACCCTAAAGCATCAGATGCAAAACAGTTTATATGTTTACCCATATCATGCCGATTCTATTAGGGCCCTGTCAGTTGAAGGGAGCAGCTGGGACAGCACATGACACTCTGATATGGGATAGGATACCAAATGAAACACATGATTGTCAAACTCCAGATCAATCCCATGCAGCAAATACCCTTCATGTCACACCCATTGCCAGGCTCCATCCTGCCAACGCTCTCAAGAGCCAGTTTGCTGAGCATCACTGCTCATGGCTTTCTAAAGCAAACAAACATTTAGTTTAGTCTTTTTCCTCCTTATTTTTTTCATTAAATAAGGTTAGACAGGGCTTTGAGCAACCTGGGCTAGTGGAAAGTGTTCCTGCCCGTGGCAGGGGATGGAATGATATGATCTTTCAGGCCCTTTCCAACTCAAATCAGTCCGTGATTATATGATGATGAAACCTTGTTTTGCTGCTCTCCCTGCACACAGCATACCAAGAGCCACGCGGCATGTCCTCCCTCCCACCTTCTGTATTTTCATGTGTTCCAAGCTACTGGTGTTTCAGGAAAAAAAAAAAGAAAAAAATGTAATGCAAAGTTAAGCAGACTAAAGCCAGGGCTAAAACTGCAATGGGAAGAAGAGCAGCAGCCTGCATGTCACCCTGCCCAGAGCCAGCATCCCCTGCAGCCGTGTGCTCCAGACAGTCACAGCCATGGAGAGACTGGCACGGCCTCGCTCAGACACTGACCTGCCACCTCAATAAGTCAGTCCAGCTGAAAATAAGTGTTGCAACATCAGACTGAATTGTCACGCTGTGGTTTGGAAGGAGGATTGTGAGCTTGTAACCTTATATTGGCTCATCACAGCAATCACTCTTCACCTCACCTCTCTTACACCCCTACTGCATTTTCACTTATTGCACTCTCACAGCACTACAAGCCCTTACTTTGTCTCTGTCATAGAGTCACAGAATCATTTGGGTTGGAAAAGCCCTCTAAGACCATCAAGCCCAACCATTCCCCCAGTACTGCTAGGCCCACCACTAGCCATGTCCCCAAGCGCCACATCTGTGCCTGTTAAATGTCTCCAGGGATGGTGACTCCATCCCTGCTCTGGGCAGCTGTGCCAGGGCTGGACAACCATTCCAGGGAAGGATTATTTCCCAATATCCAATCTAAACCTGCCCTGAGGTTTAGGTGCCGTGGGAGTCCTGCACTGCCCCACATGCTGGGTGTATCACTGGTGTGACCCTGGCTGGACCAAGGGGTGCTCCTGGTAGTGACAACCCCCTCAGACTGCCAGGGTGGCCCCATTGTTCAACAGACACCATCTGATCCCATGATGGCAGTGGTGGGTTTGTACACCTGTGCTGAGAAAGGTCATGTCTTCACTGGGGTACAGAGTAACAGCTCACTGAAATAGCAGCTGTGGGTGTGGGTCTTGTGGGCCACACATCTGGGCAGGTCTCTCACACCTTGGTTACCACAGGGGTGGGTGACAAGGGTGAGCTGCCCAGAAGGAGATGTCGGGCTGGGGACAGACATCCATCAGTATCCAATCTCCCTGGGCAGGGCTTCAGGGGGTAAAGGATAGAGAGAGACATGGGTGCTGAAGGGGGATGTGGAGAAATCACTCTACAGCCCCATGGATTGGTGGCAGAAACTTGTCTCCAGCGTCAGCAGGAGGGGCTGGATGTCCCAGGCACTTCTGGCCGCTGGTGCTGGTGGCTGTAGCCATCGTACAGGGATGAAGGGAAAGCACAAATTCTCCGGTTACCACGACAGCTACACACCAAAGTGATGTTCTCCCATCCCAGTACAGTGTTTTAGGAAACGAAGGGAAACGCCACCGGGAGGCAGTGCAGCCCTGCAGACAGTTTCTTTCCACCAAACAAGGGTAGCCGAGGGTATTCAGAGCCCCGTGAGGAACAGGAGCACTGGTTCTGCCCGTCGTTCCCTCCCAGCAGGGCAAGGATGGGCTGTGACCATCATCCAGAGGCTCGAGAACGGGGAAAGTGACACAGCACAGCACTGGAGCCAGTGATTTGCCCACATTTGCCTTTTGTCAACCAAGTTGCAACCTTGTAGTAAAAAGCAAAACTGACTTATTCTGCCTTTCAATGCCTCCAATGGACACCCAGCAACTGATCAGCACAGCCAGGCCAGTGTGGGGCTGAAAATACCCCTTGAAGCCTGGAACAGTTTTTGGGTTGATACTCAGAAGTCAGCACTAGATTTCGTATTACTGCACTAAGCTTCAGGCATTTCTGTTTCCTTTCTTCATTATTACTCTCTGTATATTTTAATGATGTTTACAGAACTGGGAATCGGCCTGTTTTTATAAAACAAAGGGATGGCATCCACAAGGCATTTTATACAAGCAAGTTTGGATACTGATTTTCCATCTGTTGTTTATTACCGAATTGGAAGTTTTATAAATAGAAACAAATGTCTTATTTGACAATACATTTACACTCTGCAGGGGAAAAAAGCAATTCACTGACACTTAAATAGGCTGAAGCTTAGCACATGGAATATTTTGGAGCACACAACAAAGCAGCATCTCCAGAAACACACTGGACTCAGGAAGGTAGTAAAGTGTCCAATCTTCCAACTCAGCCTAAAAAACACATTACCATCAAGATAAGATAACAGGAGATTTTCAGTAAGTCAGTGCTTTACTTTGATGCTTTCAAACTGAAATCTTGTTTTCAGAAATAGACTTTTTACTGTTTGGCAGGAAGGCAGTGACATTTCTGTCTCTGCTGTTCCTCTCTCAAGTGAAGGAACAGGCTCAGAGGAGCAGAGCTGCTCCCTGGGTGCATTCCTGTTCTTCCAATTACAACTTGATTCATAAAGATAATAAATGAAACTTGAAACCAAGAATGTTCAAAGCATCAGTCCTTGAGCCTTGGCTCTGGACATCCTTTTCCCATATTACTACCCATATTTTATTTCCCATTTTATCCTCAGGAATGTTTGTAGGCAGCACATTGTGATACCACAGATCTGACCCCAGTGTTTGTCAGCTCTACCTCATGCTGCCTACCCTGAGCAGGAC